CACTATATGGAAATCATGGCTTCCATGGAGTAGGGCTTGGGAGCCAATGAGGCAGTATAATCATATACATTATGGTGAGAAGAAACTAAAGCAATCAAAAAGCCCTCCAACTGAATCAATGCGTAGCACAGTAAAGCCTTCTTAAAGCATAAGGTATCAACATGGATTTCCTTTTATACATAAACACTTTCACGTGCCCCATGAGCCTAAGAGCCAAGGCTGTATTGAAATATCCTGCTTTTTGGCTCATAAAACAAGACAGGGACAGGGACCGGCACAGCACTTGACAGCCCCACACCCGCCCATGCAGCCCGCACAAGCCTGCCACCCATCCATTCTGCCCTGGAGAGCCCGGCATCCACTCGCAGAGCCCGGGGGAGACCCACATACAGCCTTGTGAGACCTACATGCAGGCGAAACCCAAAACGCACCAATGGTGAGACTCAAAACGCAGCCCTGTATAATCATGGATTGATGGGATCTGTAGTCCTCTATTGCTGGTTGCAATTCTCCATTGCTGAATAATCAAGGATTGGTGAGCTTTGTAGTCCATTATAACCAGTTGCCATACTCCATTGCTGTATAATCATGAATAAATGGGATCTGTAGTGCTCTATTGCTGGTTGCCATTCTCCAATGCTGAATAATCATGGATTGAGTTACAGTTCTTCATAATTATAAAGAAACGCCCCCTAAAATCATTCGTCTGGATTGTTTTAGAGAAAATGTCACATGTCTCTTTAAGAAAAATTGGTATTGGCGAGTACCGGAGGGAAAGCACTTGTACTTGGCCTTGAAAAAAAAAATGGTATAGCGACATTCCTAGTGAATAGTAATGGATGTCAGCGGTGATAACAAAGCTTTGTTAGCTCACAGGCCTGAGGGTAGTTTCACCTCCTGCATACAGATCATGAATACATCCTTCTACAGAGAACTACATCCCAAATACTACACACTGGGACAGCTGCAATCATAAGAACTTCAGTGTCAGGCAAGTTGCATGCAATAGCATAGATATCAACATCATAAGCAGTATCCTGGGATGTTTTGCTGCTGCAGAAGGGTCCCTATTGAGTCAGTCCATCCAAATCTGATATTTCAGTGTATAGTACATGTGGGAGAGTGAAGCCACCTATTTGTTTTTGTATTTCGCTCGTGGACTTTATTGGTGAGATCTGTGTGTTGAGTTCCTAGGTCTGCACAACTGCTGTGCCCATCATGAGGGGCTCCCTGCGCCCCTGGGGGATATTTTGTATAAAGGATAATGTAACAGAACGAGCTGTTACGTAATATTATCAAGAAAACTTGACTGGATACATAATAGCCAAAACAAAGGGACAGTAAAATTAGAAGATGAAATCACCCAAATATCTTTAAGGAATATCCCTTGGCTGCCAAAAGAGTACAGACCACATATTTCGACTCTGCCATTTCTTGTAAGATCAGCATTACGAGTATGGGATAGAATCATAGTTAAATATAATTTATCTTCTAGACCGGGTCCACTGACTCCCATAATAGGAAACCCACAATTTACACCGGGTATGCAGGTGGGAACCCTCATAAATATCGTGATTACCTCCCCTATACAGGTGTGGCAGGTTTTAGAGGAGGGAAAGGAACAAATGAAAAAAGAACTTAGTAGAATGGAGGATATCGAAAGGTGGGGGGGGGCGGGGGTAGGGACAACACCTAGGGAGACTAGAGAGATAAGATGGGAAAGGGTAAATAACACAAGGTATGTTATAACATTAAGGTAAGGAAAAATGCACTAGATAAAGGGGACACAATTATTGAAGAGAAGCACAAGGGAGGAAAGGAGGAAGGGAACAGGAATACACACAAAGTAGTAGTTATAGTTTATAGACATTAAAGTGGTTACCGGTATTTTGTAAACACAAGTATAGAGTGAGGTACACAATAAAAGGAAAGAGAGGGGTTCTAGGAAGGCTTGAGAGTAACACTATAGAAGTATGCACAAATTCACATAGTATTGTTCCCATTCTTCTTTTGGAGGGAAGGGGTAGTATGATTGATTGTGAGATGGATGATATAAGTGGTGGAGAGAGAATTTATTCTTTTTTTTTTTTTTTTTTTATATTTTTTTGTGT